GTCGATAGCCAGTATGACGCTCATTGCGGCGCGCTCGCACTGTACTGCGTCTAAATCAAAAACCAATACAGACTCCATTCTACAACTTTACACACGTTATTTATAGACTACTAGGTATATTATAAAATAAAAATATTTTTTTTAAAAAATGCCGAAGTTTTGTAAAATTCGATTTTAAAACTTTACTTCCGGTTTTCTATGTGAACAAAATAGAAATTTCAAATTTGTAGTAAATAGTAAGAAACACAGTTATTTATTCTCAAAAGTCCAATAGTTAGTTTATTTTTAATCAAATGTAATAATAGCAGTAATAGCTTCTGAAAAATGTGTTCCTAAAATTTGACCAATTTTTTGAACGCTCATAAAAAATAAACTAAGCTTCATAAAAAAATTATAATGTTGCACATCCGTTCAGGTCATATAGCAGTACATTTAATCCAAATATGAACAAAATCCAAAACCTGACTTGATTTTCGCTGTCCGCTTCGCGTGATATGCCCCCTTTATCAAGTGGAAGGACTGGCCTATAACACAATATTACTACATAAATCCGTAGCGGCAACTCTATGTAATTCAGATGCTTCTAAATCTATACTTATCTATACTTATAATAAATCTGTAGAGAGGTCAATTCTGTACATGAAATATATTTTCAAAATAANTTTAATAAGAGCTTTAGAATTAGTTAATCCTGGCGTGTCTGACCATATCTTAAAGGATTTGTTTAAATAGATGTTCTCCAGGGTCATTCGAGCGAGACTTTTGGGAATGCCACAAAAGGGTTCTGGATCATATTGTGTTCCCTGCGCTCCCGCTCTGGCCAGTTCGTTGGCATTTTCACTGTCCACGATTCCCGCGTGACCTGAAACCCATCTCAGTGTTACTCTGTTACGTTTTCCTAGGATATTCAGTCGACTCATGCAGTTTTCTACCAACTTTGAGGTGATTAAGTTGAAGTTTAAGGTCATCAGCGCGGCCTGATTGTCTGAGTTAATGTAAATTATGTGGTTGGCATAATTTTTTCGCAGGTTAGCTTCCACACATTCAATAATGGCGTAGACTTCTGCCTAAAAGATAGGGGCAAATTTACCCAGGATTTGAGATAGCGTAAGCTTCGGCTGCTCTCCATACACGCCAAAGCCTAAGTTAGGGCCCATTTTTGACCCATCAGTAAACCATAGGTATAACAGAAGAACTAACTATAATATTTATTCTTTAATGCCATATAAATTGGTACACAAGGCGAACTTAATGCCGTTGATATACTAATAAATTGATTGAGTAACTTAATACTAACTATATTAACAGTTAATCAAGTACATTATTCAAGTTACTGCTTGGTCTAGTAAATAATTGATCGCGAGAGGCGCCGGTCCCAGAAAAAAATCCCTGCCTTCGTCTGGCAGATAACCCACACTATTGGACTATTCTTTAAGCGAATCACTCACACAGAGATTGGCAAATATGTCTCGGAATGCAAATGGGAACCACAACCTCTGGAAGGCAACAAAATACCTTCCTCAAAGTGTTCTCCGCTTATTAGGTCCGGTCACCGGACTACATGAGTGCGAACTGACAAGAAAAATCTCAGACCTTTGCTACATGACACGGATAATCCAAAAAATCTACAATTCAATCAAAAAAATAAGATCAAGTATTGGACTTGATCCGATACTTGCAGCTATGCCTGCCTTTGATTCCTACTGATGATGATGATTCATCCGACCGATTTCGGTCATGGTGACTATTGGTGACCATTTCGACTTAGCTGTCTTAGCGGCGCTGGTGCGCCCGAAGATGGCTTACATAGCCGATCTTCGCGGTACCTAAACTCCTCGCACATTGAGAGTAATTACCCGCCGCCAACATGAATGGCGGCAGATGGACGGCATTTACATCATCGCGTTTTGCGTTGAGTTCAGTTGTGCGCTGCTCGTTGAATTCGCGGACTCGCCTCTACACAACACAATCTCCCGCCATTCTAGGTGCTGTGCTGCCAAACCTTCCCATTGTGATTTGAGAGGGCTCATTTTGCATCTTTTCGTATGCTGCTTCGGACATCTTTGTACTTGACTATCTGAGGAGTTGACCGCCATATTTCAGCTTACCCTCCTCAAGTTCAAAGTAAAAGATTGATTCCTACTACGCTAATGATTGCGGACGAAAAACGCAGGAGGACAAAGTGACTGACATAGCCCACAGAATCGCTAAAATCAAGTGGCAGTGGGTGGGGCCCATATCTCGTAGAGCTGATGGCCGCTGGGGCAGTAAAGTTTTTGAGTGTCAACCACGAGCCGGAAGACGTAGCGTGGGCACGCTTCCCACTAGGTGGACAAACGATTTCGGGAAGGTCGCAGGAAGTGCCTGGATGCGAGCGGCGCAGGACGTCTTTCGGCTGAAACGAAAGAACTAACGCTAAGAGAGATGGCTAAGCTAAAGAAATAGCCAAAATGGACCCTCGTAAAGCACTTGCATTTAATCTGATCACCATGAAGTCCATGGTCTTGACAATGACCACACTGAGTGAGAAGAACCTCGCAAGTCGCCTCGCCTCTTAACTTTGGAAATGATCCATAAGGCTGGCTAGTCGCCTAACGAATTCTCTTATCGCTCAATTAATCTGACATTTGTATTGTTAAAATTATGGAAAAGGATCATTTTTGCTCGTTTATTACCTTGCCTAAGTATGACCCATGTAATATAGTATACCCGACCATAAATTTTGGCAGAAACCATACCAACCATAATCAGTACAATGTTTGGAAAAGAAAGAATCCTGTACGTCTGCTTTCACTGCGGTTTCAGCTGGGTTTATCATAAAGGACTACTCTATAAAATTAAAAAGTACCTTATAGCACTTCTTCACTTCTACTATGATGATGGATTCTTATCTCAGTGACAGACAGTTTTAAATCAAACTCGGTGACAAAATCTTCTCTTTTTAGCTGCAGAGCTGGAGTACCCCAGGACTCTGTACTTGGTCCGATACTCTATAACATCTACTAGTAAAGTAGCCCAGACACCAGAAAGCTGCGGCATTCCTCAAATGTAATCTTAAAGTGACTAGTAATTAAGCCCCGAAGTCTCACCATATTATCATTTAAGACGTGAAACTTATCCTCCGGCCAATCTAGACCTCGACAAATTGCTGCAATCAACCTGCATTAAAATCCTGGACCGTAGGATGACATGGAAAGACCATAAATATAAATAAAACAGAACTGAATATAATATTCCACCGACAGTCAGCTAATCCAACATTAACTATGTGCCTCCAAAGAGCTCAAAAATACGTGTCAAGGGTACTTTTATCGGCACATTGGTACGTTCGCCTTTAGGAAATTCATGAGAACCTGATCTCAGCCAAACCCGCTATCCAAATATCAAAGTATCTATGATCAAGAGAGCTAATTTACTAGGGTAAACCACTCTACTCTAGTGGCTCAAACCCCAACCAACTGCAAATCACCTGATTAGTCTTGACGACAGATACTAAAAAAGCAGATTTAAAAAAAATACCTAATGAACAAAGGTCAAACAAGGTCACGCCGCCGACGCCGCCGCCGCCGAGGTCAAAAAGTCGGCGCGCCGCCGCCGGCCAATTTTATATCGGCGCCCACCTCTAATTAGGGTTTACCACAGAACTTGTGTTTCCCAAAAAGTTTTTCCTGGATATTTTATGATAAAGAAGTAGCTTGTATAGGTACTGTACTCAGTATTATTTTAATATAGTTGACACGTACGTATGCTATCTGAATATACAGAGTAGAATTTTGTAATGCCACCTGAAGGGAAAGTACTCTTAATACTGTAGATAGAAAATTTTACTTTAAGAAACGTTCCCTTATTTTTTAAAAGAACATTTCCAAAAATATGTTTTCTACACCCGGGAATCGAACCCACTAAAATATGTAAAAAATTACACCCTGTATTTTTATAGAATCGATAGTTAGGGTTAAGTATAAGGATGAAATCTCTCAAACAAACTTGATAAATCAAATGAAAGGAAAACCATGAAATCTTAAATTATTGTAATTATTTACAGAAAATTGTGTGGTATGGTAATAATTCCAAAAAATTACGAAAATCTTTAAATGCAGTTCTCTTTCTTTTCAAAAATAAAGGAATGTTTTTTTTAGTAAAATTGTCTATCTACAGTATTAAGGGTACTTTCCCTCCAGGTGGCATTACAAAATTCCACCCTGTATGCTTATTAATTAGTTCATATTGTCACGTGTATCCCGAGTGGAATAATGGACAGTCGGTAGCCCATAGTAAGACTATGGTGTAATATAAAACAATACTCAAAACTCGAGTTAAAAGTTAACTCAGAGAGTAAAGGAATATTTACTCATGTGACTGCCTCGTCGTATGCCTAAATTGTGGATAGATCCTGGGTAAAGAGGAGTTAGGAGTGTGGTTAAATACCATCGTATTACCTACCCCATATTACACGTAGACATAGTATTAAATAATAGTGTAGCAATAAAGTACCTACATATTGAAGAATTAGTTGCACAGCGTGCTATGGAGAGGGCTATGCTTGGAGTTTCTTTACGAGCTCGAATCAGAAATGAGGAGATCCGTAAACGAACCAAAGTCAACATAGCCCGACGGATTAGCAAGGTGAAGTGGCAATGGGCAGGGCACATAGTACGCAGAACTGACGGCCGATGAGGCAGAAAGGTTCTGGAATGGAGGCCGCGTACCGGAAAACGCAGCGTGGGACGTCCACCTACAAGGTGGACCGACGACATCGTAAAGGTAGCAGGGAAGCGCTGGATGCAGGCCGCTACCAATCGATCAACATGGAAAGCATTGGGGGAGGCCTATGTTCAGCAGTGGACGTCCTATGGCTGAAATGATGATGATGATGATGATTGAACAATTTGGAAATAAACAGTACGATTAATTTTCAGCTTTTATTTTATGAAGTGACTAGTGAATACGTAATATACAGACAAAAATTTCAATGAGAAATAAAATAAATACTGTGTATCACTTCTATTTTTTCTGATCCTTAAAATTACGTTTATAAAAATCTTATAGGCGAATTATGATAAACTATTCTAATTGAGCTCATCCTAGATTATAAATGAAGTATGCAGACCAATAAAGAATATAAAAGTATCATAATAATTTGGTAGGTAGTAAGATTGAAGTTAAACAAAGAAAAGTAAATTAACTTAGATTGGAATCTGCCAGTGCTACATATTCATCTATATATAAATTTGTATGTCCTGAGTTCTTCAGAAATAATAATAAAAAAAGTTTAGTCCTGCTTGGTGACTACAAAATATTCCCTAATATGTTTTTTAAATGTCTTTGCAAAGTCATGAAATGTCAATCATTACAAAAAAGATTTTTTAACTCTACATAAAATTCTTAGCATAAGATAAGTAGGTATATTTATTATACTCATAGTCATATAAATAATGTTAGTTTGGACATCTACTCTTACATTTAGATTTCGCAAGCCGCGTCATGGGATTTAACTGCCTAGTTCTGAATTATACATAAAAAATAATAGTCATATACAAAATAGAATTTTGAGTTCAGACATATATCCTTCGTTTAGTTTTTACTTTTGAAGTCTGTGATAGGTCTAATAAAAAGTACCTTTGGAAAAATATAAAACACCTTTGTAATTTTTCTTACACTGTTCTATTGTGTCATGCCGTAAGCCGTTATTGACAAAATATTGTAAATTAAAGCTTTATAATCCAGGTAAGGTCAAACGCAGATTCTAGGTTGATCACAGACTTTCAACTACAATCGGTAGCTGAATAAAACTTTTTTTCTACACTCTTTAATAAATAGCTGGACAGTTAGAATATTTGAATTTTGGCATCTGTCAATCTTCTTTTATTCGAATTTGGAACGTATTTTTTTTAAATAGATCTGTAGAAGCACGAGCAGCAAGTGGGCAAGTCCACAGGAATGGTCTCGGTCTTATTCGCTTCGCCGGACTCCACGTCGACCACGAAGTGCCAGGTGGTGTACTTCTGCTTGCAGAATGTGGTATATGTGGGCAGCTTCGGGAAGACCGTGAAGCAAGGTGAGCTTGCAGCTCTGGAAACAATAATTTAGATGGTTAAACTACAGATTACTAATAAGTTACAGTTAAACTTTGGAGACACAAGAGAAAAAACGCTATAAAATATTGCGAACATAATTTCTAGTCACGTCGGAGATTTTTCTGAGTAAACCGATGCTCTAGACTTCTCGAATCTTCCTTTCTTTCTCGTTATAAGAGACGCATTGAAGGAAATATAGGGTTCAATTAAAATTAACATCTGGCCTCCCCGACTGTCTGGCTAGCGTGGTCAGTACGTCTAGCATGAAAAACGATTTCGACTTCGAATCGTTTGCGTATTCGAATTGCCATCAAAAGATTTAGTACGAAAACTACAACAGCGCCCTTGTGAACGTGTCGTAAAGTGAACTTAGTATGAGAAATGGTTGCACGAAACTTATTTTGATAATCAAAATTGCCACGTTATCGTTTAATTCGAAGGTTGAGTACTACCTATCGAATAAAGTCGAATACCCAAATGATTCGAAGACGAAAGTTGTTCATACTAGAGGTACTGTGTAGGCAAAATTCTTCATTTGCCAAGCATCTGATAGGTAATTATAGTAGTTCATTCTCCTGTTCCACAAATAAACGGATTTGATTTGATTTGCAGTTAAGACTAAATGATATGACGATGATGTCTTGCATCTACCGTTATGAAATAGAGGTAGAAAATATTATCTTACTTGCAAGTTTCCAGTCGGACTAACTGTACGAAGTTTTTCTCAGGAGACTGTACCACGGTGCGCCATCCACCTGTTTCGGACTTCACTTTGTAGAGAGGCTCGAACTGTAAATAACAATGAAGATGTTAAATCGACCATTCACATTGAAAGAAAAAAAGATGAATTTATTAGTAATCGTCTAGACACAAATTAGGTACAGATCTATAGAATTTAACGAAAAGAATTTAGCGTGACGTAGGTGACAGGTGTTCCTAAAGGGATTTGAATCCATTACCAAGTTGTTTACAGTCTGTACCACAAACCGCTAGACTGAACGGTCGTTATACAAAACGCGCAGTAACCTGCCTACAGTAAGTAGGTATCATAAAATGAAGGATCTAACATCAACTAATGAGTGCATCATTATCGTACAAGTTACATAACAGTCAAGTAATTACTGTAGTTATGTTATCATATAAATATAATTTATCGTTCAGAAGAAACCCGATCGTGACCTTCCACTCTTCCGTGTATCGCACATATTATCTGCCGAGTGCAGCTGTGCGAATAAATACGTGATACTCGTCTTTATTCTCGTAACCTTTTTGTTGATCTTCAAGCAATAATTATGCTTTGTGCAGACTTAATGAGAAAGTGCATAGACGTCAAAAATGAACACAAAACAACATGTGAATCAAGCATTACATTTGATGTGATGCCTCTATTTCCTGTCACCGCTGCCCCGCCCCGGCACCATTTTTCTTCTAAACCAGTGTTTTTCAACCTTTTTCATGTTACGACCCCCCAGTATGAAAAAATATTTTGCGACCCCCCGACCGTTCGCTTTTTTTCATGCATTTTTAAGGTTACAAAGATGTTGTAGGGACCGAATTTTTCAATCCTGTATGGATTTTCTGTATATTTATGCATTTGCATAATTAGATTTCAGAGAAATCTATCTTTAAAACTTTACTGCTTTTTTACTGAGGTAGTTTTTACGACTTCTCGCGATCTAATAGAGGTTTCAACCGAGAGACGCACGGGTTGAAAAACACTGTTCTAAACGATTGGGAAAAAAGTATTGATGTCCACTAGTGGTGGGTTCCAAATTACATGTATTGTAAATTGTAAATTGTATGTATTGTGTATTTATAACCCATTCTCTGTCTATAAGTAGACACAAGAGAAAACCTAAAGCTATGAGTCAAACATTTGAATCGCAATAATTCGAACTAACAAAACATTGTAAATCTAAAATTAAATCTGCATAACTTTTTGCCAATTTAGGTCTATTTAGTCGTTTTGCAAGCAAACTATACAAGTTAGTTTACCTAAGATATTTTCCTTTTGCAATGAGTAACCAGTTATAAAAATAGTACCGTAGGATATCGTGTTGATCTAAGTGATTATGGTATAGATTCTAATCATTCTTTATTGCTGAGGTATGTCAATATCTATACTTATAATAAATCTGTAGAGAGGTCAATTCTGTACATGAAATATATTTTCAAAATAACTATCAGGGGGTGATTAGTGATCGATACTGATGCCAAAAATGCAATCAGTAAAATTTTTGTCTGTCTGTCTGTCTGTCTGTCTGTCTGTCTGTCTGTCTGTCTGTCTGTCTGTCTGTCTGTATGTTCCTTATAGAAACAAAAACTACTCGACGGATTTTAACGAAACTTGGTACAATTATTTTTCATACTCCTGGGCAGGTTATAGGATACTTAAGAATTCCCACGGGAACGCGAATTAGCGGGAAAATCCTTTTGTATGAAAAATCTAAACCGCTTAAGTTAGACGCTTGAAATTTGGCATGCAGGTACCTTAGTAAACTTAAACCTTAGTTACAACAGGATATTGCAAAATTCCCACGGGAACGGGAGTTAGCGGGAAAAACATTTGTATGAAAAACTCTAAACCGCGTAAGATAGACGCTTGAAATTTGGCATGCAGGTACCTTAGTAAACTTAAAGCTTAGTCACAACAGGATATTGCAAAATTCCCACGGGAACGGGAGTTAGCGGGAAAAAACATTTGTATGAAAAAATCTAAACCGCATAATATAGACGCTTGAAATTTGGCATGCAGGTACCTTAGTAAACTTAAAGCTTAGTTACAACAGGATATTGCAAAATTCCCACCGGATCAGGAGTTAGCGGGAAAAAAATGGTATGAAAAAATCTAAACCGCGTAAGATAGATGAAGGGGGTAAAACGGGATCCACGCGTACGAAGTCGCGGGCGGCCGCTAGTTGTTAATATAACAGATGGTATAGTATCATTGACTCTAGCATAACTACTTGAAGTTTTTCTATAATGAGAACATGTGTACTGTTGTTATGTAATCTAGGATGATTAATGTATAAACTTTAGCTTACATGATTCTGTGAGAGATTCAGTTTTTGTTTCGATATCATTTAATTTTGACTGTTTGAGTCTGGTGCATGCATAGATATAAATGTATGATTGTTTTAACTTTATATCTAAGTGAAAAATGTACTTGGATCCGAACTAATTCTCGCAAATCTAAACACTAAAAGTATTTGATACAGACTTATTAAATGTTTTAAGAGGAAAATTATCCCTTACCTCAATTATAGTTTCGCAGTTATCAACTTCATCAGGATCACCTTGTTTGTCTTCTAAACCGTCTAACACTGGTGTGTTTAATGGAATCTGAAAAGAATGACATAATTACCTAGTTAGAACTGTCAAAATAGCTATAAACACGGACCATGGTGTAAGCTTTTGGCACAATCAAAGCACCTAATAAGATAATGATGTGGATGTTTAAACACGCTTCACCAATGATTTTATAACAAGTTTAGTTGTTAGAAACCTTATTATAAACCATGAATTTAATGAAAACGCATATGTAATTATATGGAATATTAATGGACCCAATATGCCTCCTTGAGAGACTCTTGTCTCTGTCCAGACTACCTATACCTGCCCTGATGGATGATTTCTTATTTTTAATATTGTAAATTGTGATGTGAATTATTAAAAGTGAGTCAGTAATATGATTCCGATTTTTGTAATTTTCTATCTTAACACCGTATCCCTTAAGTCTTTTTCCCAAAAGTTTTCATGCACATGTCGATAAAATGATAACCTTAAATCAGTATTTTGTCCATTTCTCGAGATGTTTGTTAATGGAAAATATTTTTTGTCTCAAACTTACGGTGGAACCTGTCGTGGTTGAAACTTCTTCGGCGCTTCTCTTTTGCCGTATCATATTCGCGAGAGATGGCTTAAATTATAAGAAATTCTTATAATAACTATCAATAACTTTAGCCCAACAGATATGAGTAAGGCTAAATTCTGCGATGATTAATCACATTGTAGTTATTCGTAGATTGAAACGAAATGTTACTAGCTATACTTATTTTAAAAGAAACAGGTTAGATCTAAGCTTTGGTAAGGCAATAATAAACAATAAAAAGCTACAATGAGAAGTATAAATACATTAAAGACCAAGTTATTTGAGTTATATAAATTTTGATGCCAAATGCCAATTGTATAAATCTTGATGCGAAAATGCCAATAATAAAAAGCCAGAGGTAAGATTTAGCCAAAAACATCAAACCCAAAAAGTTATAAGTGGATCTTTACAAAGGTTTTAGCGTCTTAAGATTTGAATTAAAATTATTCTGCAATAATGCAGTTGAACTGCAGTAAATGAAACGCAGACTCAATTGGAAGGATGTGCGGCAGATCAATTTTAAGTGGGTCTAATATGGCGTCTTACGGAACTTCACATTCACATTATGAACAGAGTATGAAATAAAAGTACTTACGCTGATTTTTTTTTATAAAGTGTAATTTTATTGCTCTTTACTATACAAAATTGATCTGCCCTACAATTGCCTAGCTCTCGTTTTCCGTATAGCAAAACTTAGAAACTTACTCGATGCTTGATCAAGCTGTCGAACTTTTTCTGGGGGTAGTCTGGGGGCTTGATGGTGCAGTAGTTTTTGTTCTTACACTCGTCGGGGACGTCGCCCTTGCTGACTTCATTGTTGCTGCTGCCATATCTGTTCAGGGGAACCGCTTCCTTGATGGGACCAGGGAAGAAGATTTTGTCATCGGCTGGAATAAGCACAAAATACTATAAGACAACGACGGATTAGCAAGCTGAAGTGGAGTGGAGTAACATAGAAAGCATTGGGGGAGGCCTATGTTCAGCAGTGGACGTCCTATGGCTGAGATGATGATGATGATGATGACTATAAGACGATGGTGAAGATCGTGGGAAGTGCCTGGATGCGGGCAGCGCAGGACCGATCGTTTTGTGGAAATCCTTGGGGAAGGACTTTGTCTAGCAGTGGACGTCATTTGGGTGAAACGACGACATCGATGACTTCAAAATGGCTCCCCTCTGGCCAGCTCAGGAGTGTAGATCGCAGTTAGATAGAGCCTAGAGCAGGGTTTCCCATTTTTTTTTGCCAAGGAACCGTAATTGATTATACTTTTCCTAGCGGAACCCCCGTACTACTCCGCCCGCACCCCTTGTGCGTAAAAAAGTCGGTGCGTGCGAACAACGTCGGTCACGAAACTTGGGATAATATTTTTTACGGAACCCTTGCGGCCTTTCCATGGAACCCCAGGGTTCCGCGGACCACCATTCGGGAACCGCTAGCCTAGAGTATAGGTATTAAAAGCATATTTCCTTACAATAATAATACAGTAGAATCCCGATTATCCGGATCAATTAAAACCAGGGGTGTTCCGGATAATCGAAAATCCGGATAATCGATTTCAAAGTAAAATCAAACAATAATTAACTTTTTACAATAGAAAGGGTTTTCAATACATCATTTTAGAGTCTAAAAATCTAAATTTTAGACCATTGGTCATCCATTTCTTTTAACAATGAACTAAGAAGACGTCCGTACCATGTTACGGTGGCGGCGCCTTCGGTTTTTATGGGTCCAGACCCTGAATCGGTAATTAGAAACTGTGAAGAATGAGTCCGGATAATCGGATATCCGGATAATCGAGGTCCGGATAATCGAGATTCTACTGTAGTCTTACAAAGGTATACTCCTGTTGTATTTAGATACATTAATACCAATATGGTCATATTGATATTATTAGTATCAGAAGCAGCCTCAAAATTATTTCAGTTAGGTCTGAAGAAATTGAGGAAAATCCAGTCTCCAATATTTTTTACAAACAAAACTGGATTCTATTCTTATCACCTAAATACGAAAGTTTTTTTACATTGTATTGTGAAAGATTGGTTACAGTTTTAGTACAGTATGACTAGGTATATTTTTTAAAGTCAAAGGATTTTTATATCGTGGTTATAAAAGACTACTTACGTCCATGTACGTGGGCACCATTCAGTTCTGAAATGGAGTGGAGTGAGATCTGTGAACAAAAAAATCTCATAAGATAGATAGATAGATAGATAGATAGAGTAGTATTTAAATGCCTTGTGATCTTTTTAACTTCTTCTTATACACAACCGAATAAAAACAAAATAAAACAACATTTTTTTTATAACGCAGTCCAGTAACAATCATGGCAGTCGAATATTGTAGAGAAACTGATTTCTAAATAAAAAGTCCTCTTCTTGAATACTATTAAAATTAATAGTAAATTAATGGTAAGTAAAAATGGCATCAAGAAACTGGACTACGAATGATCTCGGCTACATCTAAAGAATCGAGACCATAAAGTATGTAATTGATTTACTTAATTGGTAACCTTTACACGTTACTATAAAACGTGTTTTGGATTTGTGATCTTGCTGTAATAGATATTAATGAGACGATTTATTAAACGATTTTAAAATACGATTCGAATGTAGAAATATTGATAGGTGCCCTGTTTAATTTGCAAATAAGTTTTGAATAGAATAAAGCATAAAAAAACAACGCTGGTAAAATATTTATTTTTTATTTTACCAGCGTTGTTTTTTTTCCAAGTTAATAATATAAATAAGTATGCTTTTAGTATACTTAAAGCTAAATTAATAAATTTTAAAATAATAAGATCAACATTCATTTATACAGTAAATTATTAATGTATTAAAGTACCTACCTAAATTTTAACAGGCGATTGACAAATTCGTTCTCAAAAGTAGAATACTTTTTGAAAATAAACCTGTTTAGAAAAAAAGTTGTACAACATTTCATTAAACCGGTATACTTATTACAAATCTGACAGCCATAAAAAACAGTCTGGCCAGTGGCTTTAAGTTAACAGATGTCCAATAAATTTAATAATTTAATCTAATATTCCTTTGAACTTATTTTATTTTCTAGTTTTTACGAAATGTCATCAATCATGTGGATAATAAATGTCGATTAGTTCATGTTTTGCCATCTAGTAACTAAGCAGTAGCTATTTGTACATAATATTAGATGATCATTATAATTAATGTATAATTTGGCCTCATAATGTGTGTTTTGACACAAATCGTTTGATGTTAGAGGTCATCGTGCATTAAATGTACGGATGGTAGCACATAGGACTAAGTATATGATTTTTGTTGCAAATTAGCATTTATTGCAATTACATAAGAAACCACAGTGTTTTGCTGTTTGTGCTGCTGTCGTCTGTAAAATATGAAAAAAATGACAAGAAATATGAACAAATCTTGTTTGTAAACTGGCAGGTGTGAAAACTCCTAAAAGAAAAAAGTTTGCCGCGTAAAAATCGCGAGTGTATTGTTTTTTCATAAGGAAAAATTTGGTGGGCCTACTATTTTACGTTGTAACCTATTTTTTTTATTTATCAACTGTAAGAAGAGAGTATGGTTTCAGTTTTGTTTGTGGATTAACAAAATTCTAAGGTTGAGTTGTACCACCTTATTTTAACCGTGAATTTAATGAACCGGTGTTTTTAGTATGGAGTTTGACAGACTTTTGACTTTTGTTAACACGTTGAGTGCGAAACCAGGTCTATAGACCTTGTGTACGTCTCGCTTACCGTGCGGCTAAGAAAATTATAGTCTTCCTTGTCGTGCGAAAGGCATAACTTCAATTGGGTCCGGTGTAGGAAAGTGATGAATATATATCTATGATGTATTCTTAAAATAGAATCCAATGATGTATCTACCTTAATACCAGGTTTTTAGACCTGGTACCGCACGGAAGTAATAAAATGTCTTCACAATGCGAAACCAGGTCGAAGCACCTTGTACCCTGCGCACCTGGTACCGCACCCCACGCTAGCTTCGTGCAGCCAGTGTTGCCTCGCATTCGTAAGAAACGCACATGTCGACATGGCGTCAAGAGAAACAAACAAAATCAAAACTGCAAATTGATTATAATTGAATTTTCTAAACGATTTATTGCTAATTTAAATAGTTTTTCGTGACAAACATTTGAAGTTGTAACTAAATGTTATCAAATAATATGTTTTCTTTAAATATAGCTTATTTAAGTATTTATGCACGTATGTCTTATTTGTAAAATATTTAGACTAAATTATTAAAACATCTTTCTTTGTTACTTTTTTAAATTTTTATTAAAAATTAATTAAAACTATCGATATTTGTATTTCACATCCCTAGAATACCCACCAGACTTCCCTACTTCAGTGCGGCACAGGGTGCATAAGCCTTGTATTTTGAATATAGCTATAATTTTTATACTAAACAAGTTATTCACGAACGCTTTCAGGTGTATGTCAATAAATGCATTATTATTAATATTCAAAGAAAAAAAACACAATATCTATTAACATGAAGCCAAAAATAAAATTAATATATCTTAAATATTACAAGGTATTTAAGCCTTGTGCCGCCACAATGTAAGTTTTAATACCAGGTTTACTGACCTTGTACCGAAGGAATGGAAAGTATTAGAAAGTTACTGCCGCAGCAAAGGTGTTAAAGTTAGTAAGTCTAAGCTACACTAGGCTTAATTAAATGCAAAAATGTTAAATATGATTTCAATTTATGTATATTGAAATACATGACAAGTAAATTACATAATTGCACATTCGATTCCTGCAAAAGGAAAACATTAAGGATAAAGTGAAGTTCTTTTGTTTTCCGTCTCGCAACCGGATTTGAGTTTTATCATAAAATCTCGACATTTATAAATGTTACAATTTTTTTACTGTCTGGTTTCGTTTCATATGAAGATTGCTTTTTAAGACATTTGCTATAATAGTCATAGTCATAGTCATTTATTCCATAAACAATAAAATTAGCGTACTGCAATAAGAGAACTGAAAAATAAACTTATAATTAACATATTTCCCATTCTGAAACTGTCAATGTGCCAAACTTATTCATTCGACGATTGAAAAATCAGCCCTCAACTCAAATTAATTGTTAATTAGGAAAAAAAAATTTTTTTTTTACTAATTTCAACGCACTAATGTTTTGTTTAACTAACGAAGGACATTGTAAAAAACTTTTAATCCTAATATGCCACTTGTCCAGTCAGACAAAGTATCTCATATTTAATAACAATTTAACCAGTCTGTCAACCGGTTTTAATACCTAGGTTTCTCGATGTTAGTACTTTGTATAGGGCATAGACAGCTGCACAGGAACTGTTATAACTTTGACGAAATATGAACTTTATTACAAGCTTATAAGGTTCATAATTAAACTAATGTATCATATTCACTGTAACTAGTAAATGCAGTTTAACTTTCCAATATTAATCTTTACAGAGAGAGCAAGAGAGCAGAACCAGTAATTTGTGTCAATGTTAGAAATTGACAAGTACGAGATTATACGAGTAAGTAAAACTTCACCGCTTTCCCTATAAATAAATTCTGCGCCAGCACAGACGTGTTTAAACTGATAAATAGTTTCCTCGTGCCACTTTCATCTAACCAGGATAACATAATGAATCTCTAGAGAACCTGGACTCATTTGTGAGACATAGGGATCATCACAACTATAACACTCGCTTCGCCGAAGCACTAGTATCGACTGCAGGTAGACTACGAAAGACTGACTCTTTGACGCACGTATTGGGGCCTAAAGTATACAACCGATTGCCTAAAATAGTGAAAGAAGCGGCATCACTCCATTCTTTCAAATTTCAATTAAAAAAGTGGTTGATCGAGCAGGCGTTCTATAAAATTGACGAACTGTTTGGAATTTAATTATTATTGACACTATTTATTTTGACATTTAATTGACATTAATTCTATTTGTATTATTAATTTATTTGGACATGATGTGTATTTCTTTCTTATTAATACTGCAATTGTTTATGATTAATAAGAAAATATATTGAGACATGTAATGAACATTATGAATAAATTTCTTATTCTTATTCTTATTCTCTACTTATAATAATCGAAGTCATAGTTCCGTACCACAAAGGCACGATAATATACTGAAACCAGATCACAGAACCTAAAGGGAGATGTGACAAGCGTGGCCGGTGTCGCAGCAATATGCCCAAAAACAGAACACATTGCTGCAGACGTCATAATGTAAACAGTTTACATTGCTTGCGTACCTAGTACTAGAGATTATTCGAACGTTGAGTAGGTACTAATACCGCAGTGGATAATGAGCACATATTTTAATTACTTTGTCTGTGTCAATTTTTAATGCGACACTGAGTTTCGAACTCACCGCATTAGTTGGCATCTCTCTATATGTCTATGACTGAAACTTTTTTTTTATGCTAGACAAGGCAGGTATTTGACAACAATCGCACCTGGTGTTATGTGAGATGCAGTCTAGGATGGTACATATCTGCCCTGTAAGTGCAGTCATAGGTCCACAAAGGTACTCTCAAAACTGAATTATATTTTAGTCTAGATTCTGTTCTATGATTGGCATTACAATAAAATTAATTGCACAAAATAACCGTCCTTCTGGCGCAGTCAGGTAAAAATGCATAGGTGTCTGCATCAATGTGTATCATTTAGTACCAAATAAATATTTTTTCTTTCTTTCTTTCATTAATTGCTTGCAATTTTGGGCTTCCTACTGTCATTAATCCGAGCATCCTAAGATCTATCCAAATCATCCATTTGATTTTGTATTTTATCTAATTTAATTCATTTTCCTCTCCTTCCTATGATAAGATACCTACTATGTCTCTTGTAGAACCTTACGAAGCGTTTAATAGGCTAACATATTTACAATAAACACGTCTTGGTTACTAGACTCTTTGTGTTCATATTGACTAAGGACACGGCCAATTAAACACGTCGGCTAGGTTAATATTCCTTTCAATTACCAGAGTAAAAATGTACATTGCGAAAAGGGATGAGATGAATCTAGATATTTCAATAAGCACACGCTTATTTACTTTCTTTTGTTTATGGAAGTAGTGTTACCTACTTGTTATCTGTATTATAAAGGAACAAAAGATACAAAGTTAAATTATATGTGACGCGAAAATTGCACTCGGTGTTATTTTTGTGTTCCATTATCATCTCCTTCTGCTTTAATCTTATGTCAATAACCCGGTTACCTTGCATTATTATCGATGTTTTCATAGTTACAGACACGTTACCCGTATGTTGTGAGTTTTGACAGACAGATGATTTATTCTTTTCGTCATCATCATCATCATCATTTCAGCCACAGGACATCCACTGCTGAACATAGGCCTCCCCCAATGACTTCCACATCACACGGTTGGTAGCGGCCTGCATCCAGCCCCTTCCTGCTACCTTTATCAGGTCGTCGGTTCACCTTGTGGGTGGACGTCTCACGCTGCGTTTTCCTGTACGTTATTATTTTAAACAAACATTATACTTCTTTTGAGCACTAAAACTTTAGTGTCTAAATCTGAGTTAAATTAAAGGGCTTTCGCTCTACCACTGCAACTTCTGTGTAGCGAGTAAGTATATTAATATTGGACGCTAATAAACCTTATAATTAAGTAAAGTATTATGTTAATTCCAGGGAAAAGTTTAACAGTTCATTCAATAGACTATCTTATTCGTTTCAAAATAAAGGACTAAGTATATTGCGAAGGGTTGAATTCTGACAGATGACGAACAAAGATGTACCTGAATAAAAAAATCTCTAAGAAACTTATACAATTCTAAATGATATTCAGTATGAAGCTTCAATAGGAGTTTCATACGGCGGTATTTAGAACGAAGCTTTTCATGTCTTTCAGAGCACGGAATAACAAAATTTTCGGGCGATCAGATTGATTCAAGCCCGTACTACAGTATTGTAGTACGGGCTTGAATCAATCTGGAAACTATCCAAACTGGAAACTACTAATGAGTATTTTACGAGTATGTGTTTGCAAACCTTGGAGACGTTAATAATGGCGATGGTGACTCAGTCTTGCTGAATTTCAAAATTGCAGTATTTTTCCTCAATCATTAGAATATTAATGCAGACAATGATTTCAGATGAGTAAGTCACTGTAATTTCCCACAATGTACTAATATGTACGAGTAGATCAGACTGTCAATAGTTAGGCCCCTATTTGTAAGACATCTCAAAATACTGGTTGTCGATTCGAATGTCGCGGTTGTGATGGCTTCATCACAACCGCGCTTAAATCCCGAATCATTAAAGTTTATATTTCTGTGTTTATAATGTAGTTGTAATTGGACGTAGTTTACATACCAAAGTGGTCATTACGATCTATATTACCATGTAGCAAAAAGTGTCAAATCAACAAGACTTAGCCATAATATAGTTTGCCAAATTTACAACATCGACCCATTCAATTTCCAACAAATTATAACCAAGCAAGATTCCATAACAACATTTACCTACCACCCACATTGAAAACATAAGTAGTTAGCAACCTAAAATCTTTCAACAGTTAAAATTCTAAATCACGTAGGAGAGAGCAACGCGTAAACCGATAGCGCCGCGCTCTCTCTGAAATTAAAAAATGCCCAAATTAAAAAAAAAAAAAGTAACATAGTGTGGTTTGGATCCTTACTGCGTATAACGCTTGAAAAATAATCTTAACAATTCATAATTTATGCCGGTACCTACTTATTACAAAAATCACACAAACGAACTTGTAAGGTAAAAAATGCATTATTTACCTACATTATGTAGTGTAACATAAAACAAAACATGTGATTAAGCATAATTAACAACATTGTTTAAATTAATTATTATGGTAATTATTTCGATAAATATGTATTTGTTTAATTCATTTATTCGTAATTAGCTACCGTATTTATTACACCATGTGCACTGCATATTAAATAAAAATAATTATTAGTTTCTGTTGAACACAATAATCAGAAATACCTGAAGTATCAAGACATTCCACACGTTATTTACTAACAAAAATATTATAAATAGATAACCTTAAACTATCTGACCAGTTGAGTTAGGTACATTTGAAAAAAAGAGTATAACAGTTATGTTTTGAATTTGTTTTTAACATCCAAACAACTCATTTGCGATTCAAAGGTCCGAAATCTTGTTTTCAAACCAATAAACAACATTGTGAATTGCAATTAAGCTGTCAGCAAAACAAAGAAATACCTTTGTTTATGTCTTTTAAAAAACTTGAAGTTTCTTTTGAAAATTGCGGTTTATTACATGTTTACACTCTGCAAATGACTTAATCTAGTTTTAAAATAGGTACTTACGAAGAATACCAAGATGCCGGTAAACATTTTCGTTGTTTATCACTTCACACACGCGCTCACAGTGTCACCTCGGCACAGACTGAGACGTCGTTCAAGTTTAATGTCTTTTGTATGCGGCGCGTGCGTATAACGCCGAGGCGCACACTGCGGTGGGAAAACGCTTGGAAACGCTCCGCTACGTAGTACGCTACACTGCGCTAACTCATATCATTGCGTTGGGTGTGTTGTCGCTTCTTCAAAGGGTGTCTGGCCTTATTAAAAACTAACTTTATTGCATTGGGTGTCATTCCGTTCTACTAGGTACTTGACAACAATCATACCTGATGTGTGTAGATGCAGTTTAGGGTGGCACATTTTGCCCCGTAAATGTCACGTCTTCAAATTGTGCCCAACCCCATTAGAAAAAGTAAATAAGCGAATCGCGAAACACATGTCTACCATGCATTTTACTTTTTCTAGAGGAAAGCAGGATCATGGTAAAGTACGCAAGTTAAGATACATACTATTAAATATTTGCGCAAAATTAAATGTTGGCTACTAAACTTTTTTTAAATGATGTGAAATAAGATATTTTTTGTATTCTTTTTCAACCAATTAATTTTATTTGCTACTGATTAATAGGAATTTTTACCAGAAAAAACGCCAGAACTACAAAGTTGACGCATATTTTTTTCGGAGTTACTAATGTCTGGAAAACGCCGCGGTTAGTACGCTGCGGTCGGTGGAAATTGTCAAACCACGGGCATTTCCAATTAAAAGAATGAATATTGCAACTCATTCATGAACTTTAACATAATTAATGTAGAGGGGGTTTTAGCGTAAGTAGTACTTATTATTATTTTGTGGTTTTAGTCTGGATTGTTGTGCCTATAAAATCGGTATGGTTATGTAAAAGGTGTCCATTTTATTTATTTAAGGCTTTTATCACTTAAGTTAGACATTTATAAAAGCTCTAAACTTTAGTTAACTAGGTACTATGTACATATTGTTCTGTAATCGATCTGTTAGTATGTCATATCTTCATAAGTAGTGTTTATGCTATTTGAATGACTGTTCCTGTTGTATAACAAAATTTTATGATGCATAACATTTTTTTTTTTATTTAAAGACTTTATTGCACACACAACAATGTTCTGTACAAAAAGGCGAGCTTAATGCCATACGTCATTCTCTATATAATAAACAATAATCACTTGTAAATTGTAATACCAACTAATATTATAAATGCGAAAGTAACTCTGTCTGTCTGTCTGTCTGTCTGTCTGTCTGTTACGCTTTCCCGCTTAAACCTCGCAACCGATTTTGATGAAATTTGGCATAGAGATAGTTTGAGTCCCGGGAAAGAACATAGGATAGTTTTTATCCCGGTTTTTGAAACAGGGACGCGCGCGATAAAGTTTTTCTGTGACAGACAAAATTCCACGCGGGCGAAGCCGCGGGCGGAAAGCTAGTAATATTTATAAAAATTAAGTAATCCTTTTTATTTAAATATTTTCCTTCCCCATAATTTTCAAATGCCTCCGTAATGAAAACAAACTTTAAATTACATTAGACTAAAATAAACAAATACAATCTTAAATTGAGATTATTAACATAATTTTCCTGCTTGAAAATAATGTATTTAAGAAGTAATTTAATTTACGTGCTATATGGAAGAATTTTCCTCAATACTCTACAAATAATATTTTGATCAATATTTTTTACATAACTGAAAGCTAAAAGTGTTTCATGTGACATTTCTTTGAAATTATATTTTAAACCTTTTCCGATACCTAATAATTAATTTTAGATTGTTTAACATATTAATGGTTGCTAACGGTAACATTATGAGGATAACTGTAGTTAATTCAGAGGTAATTCTTAATTAAAACTATTTTGTAACTAATTGTATCCCGATCTATGACGTAAACCAATTGAGTAGGAATATCCCTATAAAATAAGTACACATGACAGCACATCAGGCTACCCATTTTTGTTGCAAACTCGACGTATTACAACTGCACAAGAACCAATAGTGGTTACGTTGACGTACCGTCTGTACATGAAACGAAGAGGAAATATTATAGTTTAAGTACATTGCTTTAGGTATAATTACGTTTGCAAATTCCCTGTTCAAATGTCTGTTTATCTGAATTCATATAAACGGGAATAAAAGGGTAAAATTAAATAACTTCTATCATAGGTTCGAACACCAACTAGGTATGTTAATTATTTATCACTGACGGGATTGCTACCATGTACCTTAATTTTGAGTTTTCGATATTTCGGTTACTCTGTGACCATGGCGCTTGCAACAGTGCCGAAATATCGAAAACTCAAAATTAAGGTACATGGTAGCAATCCCGTCAGTAATAATAATTATGTTAGTGACCATGAAAGTTTAACTAACTATGTTCTTCTGATTAATATCGTTGCGGGTCCAATCTTTCCCCCAGGACAAACTTGATCTTCACTGGCTGGGTTTTTAATTTCATCAAGTTATTTAGTCTCGACTGCCGAATTACTATTTTTATTTACTAGATGCGAATGGACGTTTTGACCTCGTCAACTTTCCACTAGCCGGACGGTTCTGGAAGGTGTTTGCATATTTTATCCCTTAGGCCCTTTTCACACGTTCCGGTTGCCGGCTAACCGGCGCCGGGTACCCGGTCGTGAAGTGTATTGGCATGCCGGATTAATTACGCCGGAACATGTGAAAGCTCCGTACCATGCCCATACACTTCACCACCGGGTACCCGGCGCCGGATAGCCAGCAACCGGAACGTGTGAAAAGGCACTTACTCGTCTTTGATATACTTACTTAATAATTATTGTTTGGTGATTAAAAGTGGAGTAAACGAGTTCTCACCCGCATGATTGATGAACTCTGGAACGTAATTACCTATGCTAGAGATTGAAACATGGGGAAACTCTATCTAGTGATAGACTGCCACGATGATGTAGTCTCAAAATAATTAGGTACCTTGTAAGTAATATAGGTAGTTTTAGTACACAGTAAAAGTTAGACCCGTAGAAGTTGAAATACTACTACTTGTTATTATGATTTTAGAGACCATTCTACACATGCTTTGCATTAAGTAAAATAGTTTAAAATACTACCTAAAATTTCATGTGAAATAACTATCGTTTCGTTTTTTTCAGTGGCGTTTACTCAGCTCAGTGTACGTCGCCCCGAATCTCTTACCCTACTTCTCAAATATAATATTTGTAGCACGCGACTAATCAGGAGGAAATCCCATGAATTTGAATCAACCACGTAAGGTTGCGTCACTCGTCACAATTACTGACGATTTAGGTAAAACAATACACAGGATTGTCATTCTCAACGTCATTGCTGTGTTTTCCCGGTAACTACAGTTATTTCTATCCAGAAATATTATGTACTTACCGTCAATATTTTCTTAGACTGCATTGCACAATTTTACCTTTATTATAACAAACGTCAAAAAATTTGTCTAACTCCATACAGAATATACTGGTTATGGTTATAGTTACAGTTAAAGAAAGATGGTGCCACCCACACATTCTAATAAGCCAGGATTTTTTAATGATTCAGTTAGATTCTACAATTTGTAGTGCTTAGGCAGAGTTGCACCATCTTACTTTAACTTTGATAAAATCCATCAAAAAGCACCGGTTATCGTCAAAGTTACGGTCAAAATTAGGTGGTGTAACTCAGCCTTAGAGTAGTACTTGTTTTGACTTTAAAATTAAGGATGAGTTGCACCCCCTAACTTTGACCGTAACTATAACGATAAGTAGTGGTTTTTGTGTGGAGTTTTTGACGTTTTTCAAAGTTATATAGATGGTGCAACCCAGCCTAAACGTATTTAAGTTAAGGAGGCGCATGTAAGAGAACTATACAGATAATTTCTAATCTAGAAATTGAGAAACTCGGCTCTTACTACACTTAAAGACTGTATAGTATCTACTTATCTGCAAGCACTAGGTTCAATTTAAATTTAAGGCAATTTCCTTTCATATCAGAAGATGTTGGCTATCAAATTCGAACTGAAAGTAAGGTAAAGAGTACGTTCAAGTTTGATAAAGTGCGTTGTCATAGGAATAAGTACAACAAAGTGTTCGACTGACTTTGGTTTGTTTAGGTGCTTCTTTTTCTTCTAGAATAAAAACAGATCCGGCAGGGTATGAACTGGAATGTAAGAAGGAAAGAAAGATAGAAAATATTTATTTGGTTCTTGGTTTTACTAAAAAAAGTTGTTTAAACCAAAAACCAAAACCACTCATCATATATCATGCTCTAGGGTAGAAAACCAAAATATAACTGCTGTTCTGTGGAAATACTACTGATTTAGTACTGCAGCAACTTGAATAACCGTTGAGCATACTCGTTAATTTTTTCGGTTATAGCACCTTGGATTAACGAAATAAGTAAAATAGTCTCGTACCGCATGAGCAATTTGATGCAATTTTTTTTTTAAATTTCTCAACAATTACAGGTAGAGATCAAAATCTTATAAGCACGCACGCTTGGAATGGAATTCCATGCCAACTAGATGCTTTAGTTCAAGATTATGCTTAAGTAAGAATAAAATGAGTTTCATGATTCAAGATAAAGGGTTTATTCTAAGTTAAAGATTGTTTAAAACAGATAAGTACTCGTAAGTAAGTAGTCATGGACTGTCATGAGAGAACATTGTAGGAAAATTCTTAGTTACTGATTTTATCTAGGATGGAATCTTTATTATTTCAGAACCTCACAGAGCTGTGGGCAATCATTTTTCTTCTTAACCCTTTTTTTGCTATATAACGCCTATTATAACTGATACGACAGTGTTTCTTCGATGTGCCATTGTCTATAAGCTACAGCTAAAACACTTTTGTTATTAACATCGCAAACATTCTCGCTGTTGAGTTTGCCGTCTACTTTTGCGAAAATGGATTGATCCGCTAAGTATGATTTTCCGACAGTATCAATGCCAATGATTTGAGAATAAAGGATCAATAAAACAGGGCTGTAAGAAATCGGTAAGACTGTTGACTGTCCACCTAAAATTTTGAATAAAATTATATTGATTTGTGAACAATATTTATGCTCGCAGAATTTCTGCTATTCAAATTCATATTCTTTGGCCATTGCCATCATTTTGGTGTAGGATGGTTCATTTATTTTCGCCATAAAGTAACTATATTAGCTAAGTTTTTGTCCTGGTACTTTTAGGGTGAACTTAAAATATTAATCCAAGAAATGCAAGCTCGTATTCTCAGTTTCTTTGGACACGTCTTGAGTTGTAACTTGTAAGACCGTTGTTATATCTGTCTCAACCATAACTGTTCTATAACCATAACTTTGTTAATTAGGAAAAGGGAAATAAAAGTGCTTTTCATAAGCCAACTTATAGAAAAGTTATAACGAATTTTATTATTAATATATATCCGTTTAATACATTTAAGTAATACTTTCTGATATAGTACGTACTAACTTACACTAATCAGTCATATAATTATAATACACTTTAACGTTTTACAGATAATTAAGTATCGTGTATGCTACGAGTATTATTCAGTTTCATACATTTATAATAATCTGAGATAGAATTAAATACTTTTATAACTTAAGGTAAGCCTCGAATAGGGGACTCTCAGGTCTCCTATGGGCAACATTTCGTCGCTTGCCTCTCTAACTGACATTTTTTTCAAAACTGAGTTATCTACACCATCTTAATCAATTTCGCAAGATGAATCGATCTGTCTAATCGCCTGAAAATTTTGCTAAATGTCAGTTACGTCAGTTAGAGAGGCAAGCGACGAATTATGCGAAACCTATTTGGATTTGCTACATCGCAAGGTGGACCGACGATCTCATAAAGGTAGTGGGAAGGCGCTGGATGCAGGCCGCCACCAACCGGCCATTGTGGAAATCATTGGGGGAGGCCTATGTTCAACAGTGGACGTCCTGTGGCTGAAATGATGATGATGATGTATGCTACATCATACATGTTTTCAGCATTCCTACGTTACAAAGGGGCTATTTCAGATTTAGATTTTCTTCTGATTACAAAACAATGATTGTGTACCAGGAGATTAAGCTTATTTTTAGTTACACCAGTTACACATAATATTTATTAACTCCAAAACCGATATATGTATACTTTGACACAAGATGTATTAGCCCAAGACGTAAATTGTACTCGTAAGTATTTGCTGTATCTAATTGAAAAAGAGGCTGTCAAAGGTGACTTTCTTCCGCCACTTCTTCTCAGCACCAGCCCATAAGTAGTCCCGAAGTGGTGGTAGGGCAAGCTTTATTTGGTACTTTATACGCGCACTAGAATGGGCTTTAGTTGATTAATAGCTTTGACTTTTTACTTTGTCATAAATCTTCTATATATCTTCTATCTATATAAATAAAAATGAATTGATGTTCGTTAGTCTGATTAAAACTCGAGAACGGCTGGACCGATTGAGCTGATTTTGGTTTTAAAATGTTTGTCGTAGTCCAGGGTAGGTCTAAACGGTGAGCAAATACGCGCGCGATATTGTTTTTCTGTGACAGACAAAATTCCACGCGGGCGAAGCCGAGGGCGGAAAGCTAGTTAGAAATAAGACAGAGGATTCAACTGGCAAGAGCAGCACACTGGTAGACCTCCTTGGATGTCCACGTCCTCCAGGCCGTTCCCATCGAGGGAGAGAGTGAGGAAGCTGTAGTCCATCCTCTTCTCAACACAGCTGATGTTCCAAGCATTTAGTAAGTACTCGTCGAAGTATGGGAAGTCTGGACCGGTGACGCGGCCGGGGTTCCTGAAATACACATGTATTTTTAACATAAACATTCCAAGAGTAATTGTTTTCACCTGGCTAAATCGCATTTATAATATAAGGTAGCTAGGGAGTTGACGTTCAAAGCTAAAATTTAGATTCCTTACAATCAAGGTGTATCTAAATCACCGCCATGTATGTTCTACGATTTTGCTTAGTTTAGGAGATAGAGTTAATTTTGTGATTTATCCTTAACTATCACCTATGGAAGAAAACTATCTGGCAACTAAATAAAACGCTATCTAAAATTATCCTGTCGATTATGACTTGCTATGAAGGATTTCCTACTCCTACTAGGTGGACCGACGATCTGGTAAAGGTCGCGGGAAGAACTTGGATGCGGGCAGCGCAGGACCATTCATTATGGAAAGCCTTGGGGAGGCCTTCTTTGCCTGAAACAAATGAAGGACTTAAAAAGAAAAAAAAATGTAACTTACACGCAAGATTCAGTCCTTATCTTCTGAATAAACCTGTCCGACTGTACTACAAATCTGAGCTTCCCGTCGTTGTCCAATATTTCGTAAATTGGCTCGAACTGAAATCAGGAAAGAACTAGGTTAATATTATTAATTCATCAATAACCCACAAAAAATTTCGTAAACTTAATCTATACTTCTATACTTATATTATAAATGCGAAAGTAACTCTGTCTGTCTGTCGGACTGTCTGTCTGTCTGTCTCTCTTTCACGCCTAAACCACTGAACCGATTTTGATGAAATTTGGCATAGATATAGTTTGAGTCCCGGTAAAAGAATATAGGATAGTTTTTATCCCGGTTTTTGAAACAGGGATACGCGCGATATGGTTTTTCTGTGACAGACAGAATTCCACGCAGGCGAAGCCGCGGGCGGAAAGCTAGTTGTTTATAAATAATTTAAAATAGATGTTGTTTATTCTTAGTTCAAATCAATCATCATCATCATTTCAGCAACAGGACGTCCTCACAGTAAGGAATTGAAATTAATATTTGAGGTGAGATACCAGATACCAGGCTACTCGTAGATGAAATAAAATCTTTTAAAGTCTTCAGTGTTTATGTTGATCTTCTATTTTCTAACTGGTTTTCTTTTTCTAATTCTCTAATTTTGATGTATATGTTACTGTAAAAGCTCGAATTGCAGTAAATCCTAAGATATTCCAGTAAAACCTAAGATCTACCAATTCCTAATGGTAAATGTCCCAAAAGGTTTGCGATTCGAACTCTTACCACCATTTCGTTGGTAAATCTTAGGATTTACATTAATGGCACGGTAAATGTTGAAAAACAAAACAAGCATTTTTGACAGGTAACAATCGGTCCTATCTACGCATTACACGAGCGCAGCCTTTTTGTATTGTTTAAATGTACGAACAATTTAAGAAGTAAAAAGAAAGACCACGGCATCACTTTTCATTTTAATACAATTAAACAAACCATGATGTCACTGCCTTGTTTTTTCTTTAGCAACGTAAGATCATGTCATATAAAATACTAGTTTTTGCCCGCGGCTTCACCCGCGTGTAATTTTATTTGTCACAGATCGCCATAAATTATAGCCTATAAAATATGTTATTCTGGGTTAGAAACAATAATACTGTAAAGTTTCATCAAAATCAGTTCAGTAGTTTTTGCTTGAAAGAGTAACAAACATCCACACAAACTTTCGCGTTTATAATATTAGTAGGATGCATGCAGTACAAAATTTCAGTGTCCTAGATATGATATTTACAGGTATGCGCTACTATCAATGCTGGGTTATTATAATTCCGATTTTTATCCGATTCTATGGACTCCATGGTATTATTATTTTTGTTATAATCTTACTAATTAAAAGTTCTGTAAACTTTTACGAAAACAGCATCGTTGGTAATGTCAGTCAGAAGGAATAAAAAAAGGAAACAGTAAAAATGTGAACACCAAAACACAAGAAAAAGAAATGATTGCAAATAATTTAAATAAGTTGGTATTAGTTTGTACTTATTACTATCATGATACCTTTATAATACTATGTACCTGTTTTGTCTAATAGTTGATGAAAGTAAGTAATTAAGCATTACTCATTGTTTTATTCCTAAAACCAACATCTACCAGCTGACAGAGGTAAAACCTAGCATATACTGAATTCGAATGGTAAAAGCTAGAAAAAATCGACGTATTTTCAGAAATACTTACATTTACCAACTCATCTCGGTAAATCTTAAGACTTACACTTAAATCTTAAGATTAACCGTAGTTCGAGCTTTTACAGTAACATATACAAAATAAATGAGTGCTTACATCGATCTTCCTTTCACATCCATGGTTAGGATTCTCGTCACCACGTTCTGCTATGGACATACCGCCTCCACCTTCCACTACAGGTGGATCCTGAAAAAATTAATGTACATAATATATTAATTTATATCCACAATAGCCCAACGGTGAAGTGGTCGGACTGGCCGACTCGAGATCCAAGGAACGCGGGTTCAAATCCTACCGCCGCTCGACTATTGTGGTGAGCCCACTCGTAACACAAGCTTAATTAGCTTAACACGAGAGGCTAACGGGACTATTAGTCATTTGTGCAATACAAATTGCTAATAGGTTCGTTCGTTCGTTAGTTTCAGCCGCAAGACGTCCGCTGCTGGACTAAGGCCTCCCCAAGGATTTCCACAAAAACCGGTCCTGCGCCGCTCGCATCCAGGCGCCTCCCGCGACCTTCACCAGATCGTCGATCCAACAGTATGCTATTAGGTGATCTTTAAAAAAAAAACAGAATGATGCGACTTTACATTTATGGCGGCGACCACGGGCCAGAAGACGTATTGTGGGCAGGCCTCCCACTAAGTGGACAGATGATCTGGTGAAGGTCGCGAGAAGTAGGTACGAATGGGAAGCAACACTGGACGATCGTTAAGGGAATCCTTTCATTGTCCAGTAATGGGCGTCATTTGGCTGAAACGACTGAAGCGATGAACAATATCAGATTTTTTAAGTGTAAGGTCCGTAATCTGGGGGCACGGCAGTGCCCCCACCAAGTCGAGCAAAAAAGCGGCACGGCCGTACCATCCTTTTCTCGAAGCAATTCAGGCCATTTTCGACCGCCTGTAACTTCGTTGTGGATAAAACTAGAAGGCTGAATTTTCATTAGCTATGCAGGCATTGTAAAGACACGGTATATTTAAAATTTCATTCAATTTGAACCNATTACATGGATCTCACAACTTTTTACCGTAGAACAACTGAGTTGCGAGACTTGGTTTTTTTGACAAGTATTGTTTTTGATGGGATCATTCTTAATAACCCAATGTTTAAGATAAATAACAGTTCAGTGAATTTTGGAGTGTTGATGATAAGACTAGATTACAACATCATTAGTGCATAAAAAGATTATAATTGTAGAAAACAGACATTTCTCGTATACCTACATAATACATTATTTAAATAATGTTTGAAAGGTTTGAACTTTGTTGGTCAAAATATAAACTCTGAACTTCTATAAAAATATTTTCTGCTTTAATATTTTTTTCCATATTTTTTTAGCTGAGTATTTTTTTATATTTTTATGAACCTAAACAATGTGATATCTCAAGTGAAAAAAAAAAGATTTCGATATAATTTTTATAGGTACTTACTATTTCTTCAATGATTCTGTCGATCAATTTCTGAGGATACTTCTCACTTTTCTCAAAACAGTAGCTCTTTCCGACGCAATTTGGAGGCATCTCAGCTGAAATAACAAAACGGTTTATTTAATTAATTTATTTATTATTCATCAGCCGTGTGATTTCGGCAAAGTAGAATATAACCACCACCTCTATCTACAGTGAGTGTAGTAAGAGCCAAACATTTGGGAGAAAATAAGCAAACATAAGATCAAACTATTTGGCCAATGAGGGGAGTGTATACCAACTTCTTTATTTAAATCCTTTATCAAATAACTAGCTTTCCGCCCGCGGCTTCGCTCGCGTGGAATTTTGTCTGTCACAGAAAAACTTTATCGCGCGCGTCCCTGTTTCAAAAACCGGGATAAAACTATCCTATGTCCTTTCCCGGGACTCAAACTATCTCTATGCCAAATTTTATCAAAATCGGTTCAGTGGTTCAGGCGTGAATGAGACACAGACAGACAGACAGACAGACAGTTACTTTCGCATTTATAATATTATAGTATAGATAATGATAATCAGGTCATTTGGTCTCCACTGTAGGAACACGATTTTCTCAGATTTACCAGATGCAAATAGAGAGTTTGGGCTTTGTATTTAATTAGATTTTTTTCAGTAGGTACAGTAAAATCAATATCATTCTTAAATGGCTACTATGTGTGCATTTGAAATAGTAAACAGCTGTAACGCGGTCATTATATCAATAGCAAGTATCTTGAAGTGAATGATTCAGAGTGGGTATCCCCCAGATCGACTTGATAAGGAAAACTGCCAAACGATGTATTACTTACTGCATTCAAATATTTAATAAATATCAAATTACAATAAATACTTAAAAAAAATCTAATTATGTTTAATTATTTTGACTTTAATTTATTTTTATCACATACAGTGCAATTGAAGTAGGTTTTTTCTTCACCTCATACGAGAAAAGAAATGGATTTGGCTACGTCTTTGGACTATTATTTTTAGTTATTAACTTAGTTTTTAAACAGTCCGATGAGTTGAAAAATGTCTATGGCAAAAACGGACTACAAAATAGTTAACCAAACACGTATGTACTTACTATCTGATAGATCTTTGTTGGCTATCCCCGCAGATACCGTAGTAATGGCAACCTGAAATGTTATAAGGCACCGCTATTATTACAGTCCACATAATTTCGGGAAAGGAAAGAAGTATCCACAAACATTTTTATTCCACTTTTCATTTAAGATGTTTGTTTTTGTAATATTAAAAATGACACTCACAAAAAACATAACAACAGCCTTTCCCCACATCTTGTTCACGTTTAAAGACACTGTGTTTATTCACTAATCACTGTTTTTGTTAAAATTGGACTAGTTTTCCAATTATTATTACCAATAATATTTAAGGAACGTCCGGTTCTTTCAAGTATGGTTCCACGAATGGCTCTTAAAAGCATAAATACAAACTTAAATATCATTCGCCTTGGTTTTCCCATACCGGTCCCCGCACGAGTATTGATAAATAGGACATTGTGTTGTATCTGACGTAATATTACGTCGCGTAAAGGATACTACGTTAGTAGTTATGGATCCTTACGTCACCGTAGTGTACTGAAGACCCTTTCCCATAAATAGTCATTAGTCATAGGGCATTTTTAGATGATCAAACGAACTTAC